TATTTAAAAGCAAATTAACAAATGAATCATATTTTTCCTAAATAAGTGAAAAAAATAAAAATGAAGCAATTAAACAAACTCGAAAGCAATTCAAAACGACTATGTTCATTCAAATTAATTCAATCTAACTCTCGTGTATCTAAATTCAATTTTTGGTTTTGTTGTTGTGTGGTTATAATTTTGAACTTCACCGATTTCACATTATGTAACGAAAGCAAAAGCAAAAGCAAAAGCAAAAATGAGTCAATAAGTTTTACAAATAAATCACCACAGCAGATGCTTGAAGTATGTGAAGACTCATCAAGCTTGATATGGTCGCAATTTTTGGAGGACTATACCCTAAGGTAAATATCATGATTGTCGGACAGGTTATAGACCAAACGTGATATTCAAATTTTAATACTAATTTCAAGAAAAAAAATGATTTAATTTACATGTAATAGAATATAATTCTATATTAGTGATATTGTTCTAATGTTTAAATTTAAAAAGACAAAAGTATGCTTTGAGATATGGACTGAGTATTTTTATAATCTAGATATATAATAAGATTGATGTGAATGCTTGGAATCAAATGCTTAAATGTTTCAAATACATTTAACATTAGATTACGTAGTAGAATAAATAACGCAGATCGATTCAGCAGTTTAGAAAAAAACTGGGTTTTAACAAATGTTTTGTATGGTGATCAATCTAAATATTACCCATTTATAATAATGTTATAAAGGGTATTTATTTCTTTTATATAGAGACTACGTACTATAAATATCATGCGGAGCAATATAGAATTAGTGATACGATTTTATTGCCATCCAAATTTTATCTGTCCAGATTTTTAAAAAGGCAATAATACTTGTTTTAATAAATAATTATAATGAATAAATTATGAGCATTCGAACAGGCAGACCTGACTGTTCCTGATTAGTTCAGGATGTACAACTAATAAAGAATTTACATACATATATGTTAACATTTATAAAATATACTCGTATATAAATATGACCAAAATACAAACATCTTTGCAAGTGTGTTATTCACATTACAATATATTATAGTATATATTTGTTATATTGATAATATAGTTAAGGGTAGAAAAGGCATAAACTAACTTTGGGCTCGTCAGAAATATATTTAATATATACCTATGGGATAATGGTATAGAATTGTACATAACATAAATTGATGTACTTTTATCATTAGATTTGCAAAAGAAGACTAGTATATATGTATTCATTGCCATCGTTAAAGCAGTTTATGTGATTCAGTTCGCTAATGAAATTTGATTAACCATACGAAGAGCTTTCGTGCTTTTTATCTTAGTTAACACATCACTCAATAAGTCGTGTGACTGACACACGGCATCACCAAGACAATGTATGTTACCATGTCACAAGTCAATAAAAAAGATGACAAAATTAGACGAATCACACTTCGAATTGCTTCCTCATCAACCGTATAGTCCAGATCTGACCCCCAGCGACTACAGGCTACTCGCTGATCTCAAAAAAAAGTTCGCCGGTAAGAAATTCATCTCAAATGAAGAAGTAATTGCTGTAATTGAAGCCTATTTAGATGTAAAAGACAAATTCTTCTATAAGCACGGCATCGAGAAATTAGAGAAGCGTTGGAATGATTGTATTCCCCTTGAAGGAGATCATATTGATAAGTAAAATCGATTTTTGCAGAAAAAATTTGTTTTTCTTAGTTAGCCACACGACTTATTGAGTTATGCGTTAAATTAAATGAAATTAGGAAATTATACCTATATCAGTGACGACGCGTGCTCTATCTGGAAGGGTGTGCGGTCCTTCTTTAATGTTGTTTTTACATGTACCACTTAAATTAAAATATATGAGATGTTTTAAATAATAACCGTATTATATTAGCCAACAATATATTTGCAATATTATATTAATAATTCATTAACAAAATAACATATTAAACAAATTAAATTAATAATTTATATATAAGTTTAATATTATATCAATATGGAAGAAACAAAACTTTTCACATAATTCTCGTAACATCAAACCAAATTTTTTCAAACAAAAGAGTTTGTACTTAGAAACATACATGTTTGTGCAGTGATCAAACAAAATCGAAACCACTTGCAACGTATAAATGTGCGGACAAGTACCCCGCACAATAAGAACAGAAATTCGTGGGTGCTGCTGTTAAAAGGGAAGAGACGAAATGTGATAGAAATGTATGGTGATATGAGCTGCAAACTTCAGCCGCTCATGCAACCACTTTGGCAAATCATCATGTTGGATTCGTATGCATGCAGTTGATATTCGAATAGAACAGAAAATTACTCTCATACAATTCTCACTATATAAATCTCTATCTCTGATATTACGAACGGGAGCACACGCACATTATTTTGTTCATATGCAACGGATGAATGTGCGGCCAACTTCTTTGCACACAAAGGGAGAGACGAAATAAAATAGAAATGTTCTGTGATTTCGGCTGTAAATATATGAGCACAACTAACAAGTATAGCAGCTAACAGAAGCAAATTGATTGAGTTTTCATAGACAATTATATTTAATTGTTTTTGTTAAAACTTTAAAAATATATATATAATGTAATATATGTAATGTGTATATATGTAATGTAATAAATAATAATAATTCTTGATGTGAAGATACTTAATAAATTTATATACCTATGTTATTTGACATTTTGCAAATTATGTTAGGGTGTTCACCGCACACCTCCGCACCTTAGAGGAATCGTCACTGACCTATATATATATTGTAGTGTTATTAAAATAACACTAACGAGAATTTTAATTTTTTGAATTCCCTCGCTTATCCAATCGGTAAATTTTTTTTATTTTCACGCTGGCAACACTATTATACATATTCTGTCAAAGTTTAACGCATATCGTACGATTAGTTTTTGTTTGGCGTCTATACAAAGAAGTCGAAAAATTTTCGTGTAGCGATTTTTATTATGGATCAAAAATTAGAACAACGTACGTGCATCAAATTTTGTATTGCAAATGGATTCAAGTGTGCCGAACCACCAGTATACGAATGGTTTAAAAGGTTCAAAGACTGTCGTACAAGCTTGGACCATGATGAGATCCCTGGCCGCCCAACAACATCTGTTATTGAAGAAAACATTAAAACGGCGAAGCTGATCGTGTTGAAAATCGTTGTGAACCAAATAGAGAGATTACAGTATTGTTGGGCATCTCATATGGATCGGCCGAACATATTTTAACTGATGTTTTAGGTTTGAAACGCGTCGCTTCTCAGCTGGTAGCAAAAAAGCTGAATTTCATTCAAAAAAAAGCGTCGTTGTAATGTGGCCAATGAGATGATTTCCAACGCAGATAGTGACCCCACATTCATCGAACGCATCATAACTGGTGATGAGACATGGGTCAATGAATTTGCCATGTCCACTAAACAACAATCGACCGAATGGTGCTTCAAAGGTGAGCCGAAACCGAAAAGAGAACGCCAAAGTCGGTCCAAAATCAAGGTTATGGTGACTGTTTTCTTCGATATGAATTCCTTCCGGACGGTCAAACGGTCAATAAGGGGTATTATTTGGCCGTTAGGCATCGTTTGCGTGAGGTCATTCGCAAAAAGAGGCCAGATTTATGGAAGGAAAACTCATGGATTTTACACCACGATAACGCACCGGCTCACACAACGTTGATTGTGTCGCAGTTTTTGGCCAAAAACTCCACCAATATCATCAACCATGCACCGTACTCTCTAGATATGGCCCCGTGTGACGTTTTCCTCTTCCCCCGACTCAAATTGCCATTGCGAGGAATGCATTTTGAGACCATAGAGGTCATAAAAGAGAATTCGCTGCGTGAACTAAAGGCCATACCTTCGGCGACCTATAAAACTTGTATGGAAAATTGGATCAAGTGTTGGCATGCATGTATTGCCGCAGAAGGAGAGTACTTTAAAGGCGATAATAAAGAAAATTATTAAAAATTAAAACTTTGCGTTTTTTTTTTTAAATTCTCGTTCTTTTTTGATCATATATATTAGGTTTATATTAGAGTATTAGTCAATGTTAGTATTTTAAAACGTGTGTTACACTTGCAATATTTGTCATGATGATCAAAGCATAATTAAAAGGGTATGTATATAGTATATATATATATATATATAATATATATATATATATATATATATATATTATTTATATATATACTTATATATATATTGTTGAATTTAAGACTGACTTAATAGTTCTAGCAAGATCAATGTTTTTTTTTAAATTGCGGGTTGTTAACAGAACTGAGTCATCATGAACGAAAAGTTCAGTGACGTAGAACCGACCGATGCTTAACAAAATCAATCAGTCTGCGAGCTTGAATATTTATTTAAAAAGAAAAGTAATAAGTTTTTGAAATAAAACTTATTTTCTCTTAGGGATAATGAATATGAATATATAATGAATCAATACATAGTATTTATTTGTTAATCATTATCCATTAGGAACATAGGCTCGGTATATGAACTCTCCAATTATTTCTCTTACCATCCAAGCTATTAAATATCGTAGTTCATATAGAGATTTGTGTGCTTCATTGTTGAGTGTTGAGAGATACGAACCTTGACTTGGGCATAAATACAATATAGAATTTGGTATTCACCACACCTGTTTATATTTATGTTACAAAAGCATCTCTAACAGAAGCACCTAAAATTGTTCTACAATTTTTATTTTATTTTTAACCATCAAACTCAACAAGTTTTAGAAACATGAATTAACGTTACAGATAATATTTTGTTTGAGTTTTAAGTCTTGGGAATAATACGAAAGCTTTGAATATTTTTCTGCTCATAGTTCTAATTGCATTAGCATTTGAAGTGACGCCAATACTAATAAAATAAAGTATTGCTATTTTTATTTGGTTGTCTTGTATTAATACTGCGATTTCTACGCCATATAATTTATTTTAGTAACATTTATACGTAAATCAATTTTCTAAGTCTAAGTCCTTCATTTTTGTTTGAAGGTGCACCTTTTTCGATTAGAATACTACCATATCATCATCGACACGAATTATACCTTCAAAATTATAAATGCATCTTATAAAACAACTAATTACGATATTATTATTTAAATTATTAAAGATTCAACAAGTTACATTTCGACTTTTATACAGATTAGCATTCATATACGATACATTGCATTTATGTTAAACGGTTCCATATAACAAACTTTAAAAAAAAACGTTTGTATAGATATTTGATAGATAATTGTGTTGGAGCAAAAACACTTCTACAATTTCTACTCTCAATTTATTCGTATTTCTAAGAAAAACCTATAAAATTTCGGTTATTTTGTGTTTTCAAAATTCATATTTTTTCCATTATCAAAATACACATGTTAAAAATATTAAACATTTTTGCTGTGTCTTCCAGCCAGAGTTCAAGCAATCGCATATCTAAGGATCTTCCTTACATTGGTATTGACTATGACATATCGGGATCAGCATCAGTACCTCACTCTAACAATCCATCAATGATGACCATCAATGGTTCACCAACTTATCAGCCACCAATAAATTACCATTCGTCTGCATATAAACGTCCGAATGTTTTCATTACAAAACGTATAGGGGAAGCTGTAGAATTAGAGCCTCATTTACGACCCCCTGTTAAAGTTGTAAACCCACAGTTTCGTCCTATGACAAATCAAATGCTACATCATCAACAACAACAGCAGCAGCAACAACAACAACAACCTGGATTTTTACAACAATTATTTGGCATAGGATCAAGTACTAATACTCTTTCCATTGCACCGTCAATGTCAAATCTACCACAACAACAACAACAACAACAGCAACACCAAGGTAGGCCAGTTCCCCTGCAGCATAATACAGTACAACACAACATGCCACAAACTTTTCGTGCTGTTTCGGAAAATGATTTATATCTGTTAGGTGCAATTGAGAAACTGGTTTACCGTGTAGATTATCTTGAAAGTCGAATACGTCGCGCTGAACAACTGATATACTATCTTATGGCGGGAAACAATCAAAAAGAAGGTATATATAAATATATTATTTTATTTTTGATTATTACTTAATTCGTCAATATTTTTCTGTAGTGAAAGATCCCTGCCCGAGTAATTTCACGCGTATTAGTGACAATTGTTATTTTATCAACAGTCAATTGCAAGTAAATTGGAAAACTGCGAATTCCGCATGTAAAGCTCTTGGTGCACATTTGGCGGAATTTGAAAGAGTTTCGGAAAACGAAGAGATTATGGCATATTTATTAAATCAACCGAATCATCGGGGCCGTGAATATTGGTTAGGTGGTCTAAATCCGGGTCTTTTATGGATTTGGTCTAATTCAGCCAAACCGGTTAATCCAAATATGAATCTTACCTCTATAGCTATGTCACATGAAAATGGCACTGGTTCTTCAAACTCAGAATCAATAACTGTTGACAATAGTGATGAGAATAAAGTTGAAGAATCGACTAATGAGACTGTACTCAATAATACTATTGAAATTAAAGGCCAAGGGCGTTGTCTACGTTTGTCATACAATCCAACAAAGCATTTTTACTATTACTACGGTCAGGAATGCACATCACGCCATCATTATATATGTGAATATGAAGACAAAACTTTAGATAACAAAATAAAAAAAATTACGAGAGAATTGAAAATATTCGATTAAACTATACTAACTATTGAAAGAATTCGCGGTAGTTCATAAACTAACCGTTGCTAATTTTAAAATTTTTTTAATTAATTTTGTATTTATTATTAATTGTAAGTATTTAATTCTATAATAAAAGCGAATTCAATCAAATTTTCTTAGAGTATATTGAATGTATCTGGGTGAAAATGAGACAATTTCAATGTAAGAAAAAACTATCATTGGGTTTTCATTGCTTGCTATCTGTAACAAGAATACACTCATACAAGAATGTGAGAGATTGTTATTAAATTTTTTTTGTTACTCATAATTTTAAAACTATTTTGGCAGTGTTTTGGACTCAAGTTTGTCCCTTCTTCTGGGTTCTCTGAGAAGCTAGAGCGGATGTCAGAAATGCCACCATCAAATAAAATTAAGTTTCTTAACAGTTCAATATTGACGAATATCAAAAATATCTCCTATTCCAGTACAGTTTAGATATATGTATATAAGGGCAGATATATGTTAATACAAGCAACAATCATATAATAGCGTTCCATGCGAAACTATGAGCAATAAATCATTAGGAGTACACATTAGTATATATTTTATTGTTTAAATTTTACATTTAGCATACGTCAATTATTAACAATTTCATATTTAAAATTAAATGTTCACACAAGCAAATATAATGTTAATTGTAATTATGTTCGTTCAGCTAGCTTCGTTAAAAACATGGTTGCATAGTAAATCATAGTTTTATTCTTAATCCTGTTTCTCATGTTTTAACATAAAAGGAAAATTTTATACAATACCGTTATACTATTGTGACTATTGTGAATTATGATTGTGAATTAGCACAACAGATCAGGGACGAGGCGTGCCCTAACTTTGTATTCGTTACTCAAGGAATACCGGAGTAACGAATACAAACTTTTTATTGTATTTGTTACTTTTCTCATTTTACCAATGAGTAGTATTTGTTATAACTACTCTTTCGAGTACCTGGTAACGATTACTTTTAAGCAATTGTATTCGCGGTATAATAATAACTACTTTATTTTGAACTAAATTTTTCTTCGCTATCAAATTCATTAAAAATGTTTAAAAACATTAATATAAAAAAAGTGAAATTTGGATTCATTTGAAATCAATAGGAGGTGAAAACTAAATGCAAAATATGCGGATCAAACAATTCAATAAAGTAATAATTCTAATTTAATATATCTATAATTTATTATAATTAATATATATGCCTTTAAAAATTCCTTTTATTGCCGAAAAAAAGCATTTAAACTTCTGTAACGAAAGCACAGTAACGAAAGCGCAGCAACGAAAGAACAGTAACGAAAACGCAGTAACGAATACTGAGTAACGAATACATACTCGAAAAGTAACGGGTAGTTACAAATATACAAAAGTAACGAAGTTTGTTTTTACATATAACACTTAAATTAAAAATGATAAATTGAAATATATGAGATGTTTTTAGGCAACAATATATTTACAATATATAATTTTAACAATTCATTAACAAAATAACATATTAAACAAATTAAATAAATAATTTATATATAAGTTTAATATGATATCAGTAATACTATATCAGTAATCAGTAATATCATATTAATAAGTAATATTAATATGATATGGAATAAATATACCTTTTTACATACTTCTTATAACATACATACATGTTTATGCAGTGACCGAACAAAATCGAACACACTTGCAAAGTATGAATGTGCGGCCAACTTTTCCGCACATCAAGCGGTTGATATTCGCTGTGCTACAGCTAAAAGGGGAGAGACGAAATTTAAGGAACTGTACTTAAATGTGTGCTGCAGATTTGAACGCACAACTAAGTGCTTCGGCAAATCAACATGTTGGATTCGAATGCATGCAGTTGATATTCGAATAGAACATAAAATTACTTTCATGCAATTTCCACTATATAAATCTCTATTTCTCATATTACAAACGTGAGCACCTGCACATTATTTTGTTCATTTTTCTGTTTAGCCAACAGAACAACGTATAAATGTGGGATCAACTTCTCCGCACACAAAGGGGAAAGACGAAATATAATAGAAATG